GTTGAAACGCAGCCGGCCTGGGGATGTACAGAATATCTCTCCACCGCGAGCTTAATACATCTTCAAAATCAAAAGGCATCATATTTTCTGGGTAGGGGGCTTCAAGCGAAGCTCAGCGGTGGACAGAGCCAGGGTTCGAATCCCTCCCTTCCTCGCTGGAGAAGGACAGACTTCAAAAGGGACAAAGCAGCGGTTTCCAAAGACGCAGACAAAGGAAACTTACCCGTGTGTGTCGTCCCCCGCCCTCCTGCCGCCTCCGTCATTTCATCACACACACACACACCCGGAGAATTTTGAGGGTTCCCCCAACAGGGTATACGGAGCTGCCTGCAACTTGGGGTGGGGGTGAGGAATATGGGGATTATCGGCAGATTAAAAGTAGAGTCAATTCCCACGCGGAAACGGGAAATCAGAAGAGGAGGGGGCGGGGGGAGAAAATGTCCTGAAACGCTCACTGTTTCCGGTTACAAGAGGCGCATCGTTGGAGCCCCGGTTACCGAAAGCGAGGCCTCAAAAGAGAAGCGGACTTCGAACCCAGAGGCAGCCGTGGATTGTTGTTGTGGTTGTTGTTGTTTTTAAAAAAGGAGGGGGGAAAAAACAACCCTGGCAAATGAAAAAAGAAAAAAACTAAAACAACACCCCCCCCCCTTCCTGTTTGTGTCTCAATCCTAATTGGTAAGTTTAAAAAAGTCGCTTAAAAAAATCATACGCCATTTTATTAGTGCATAAAAATAGCTCTCTCTCTCTCTTTTTTTTTGGGGAAATCCCTGTTTGATTTGCCTCTTTTTTTGTGTGTTTTTTTGGTGTTTTTTTTCCCCTTTGCTTTTTGTTTGTTTCAATTCGGGATTTATTTGAATCTCTGCGCGATTCTCCGCCAGGCGGCTGGGGAGGGGGAGGCGGAGGGGGGGGCTGGGCTACCCCAAAGGGCGCTTCGTCAGCGACCTGGCCCTTCCGCCCCGCCACGGATTGTGGAGGCGTTTCACTCGGCACCCAACGAGTCCAGCTCAGAAGATGCTGGGACACTGGCTCCAGTCCTGGTTCTCTTTGCTTTCCCAGTAGCCGCCCTTGTACACGCAGATCAGCTCTCCCGTCACGGGGTCCACCTTCCGCTCAAACCACAGCGGGGTGTAGCCTATGTAGTCCTTCCCTGCAGAGGAAGCAGGGCAGTGGTGGGATCTCCATTCCCTCTCCGCTCCAGGGGAAGGATACTGCAAAATCCCCATTCCCTCCCCACTCCAGGGGAAGGATACTGCAAAAGCTCCATTCCCTCCCCACTCCAGGGGAAGGATACTGTAAAATCCCCATTCCCTCCCCACTCCAGGGGAAGGATACTGCAAAATCTCCACTCCCTCCCCGCTCCAGGGGAAGGATACTGCAAAATCTCCNCCCCCCCCCCCAATTATTGCTTGTTTACTTCCCCCAGAAGAGAAAGGGACATATTCTCAGAGGTAATGAGATGCCACTTTAAGTGAGGAGGGGGCTGTTTCCGCACTCGGGGGCCCTTTAGTTGCTTGTCCTATTGGGCTCAAGGGGGAAGGGGGTTTCTCCAAGCACCGGATGTTTCAGGGACCCCGACGTAGGCTGTCCAAGAGGTGGTATGCTGCCGGTTTGCGCCGGATCGGGAGGACTGGTGGGGGCGGGAGGCTCCGCCCACCCTCCCGGACGTCATCATGGACGTTCTGTGCATGCGCAAGCGCGCTCCCGCTTCCAAACCGCTAGCGAAGATTAAGAGCGTTTCATCCTGGGGGAGGATCAGTTGGGGAGCACCGGGAAAAATCACCCGGACAGCAGGAATCCACGACTTTTAAGACGGGAAGACTTCAATTCCCAGAATTCCCTGGCTGTAGTTGAGACGCTCACGGGATCTGGTGCCCCGCGCTGGGCAGGGATAGCAAGGTGCTAAGAGTCCCAATGCACCAACTCTGAACAAATAGCCAATGCCCGCAGATGAACTGGGGCTGCGGCCCCCCCAGAATCCCCCTGCCCGCAGGGACGCTGGCAAAACTTCTCCACGGGGCCAACTCTGAGCAAGCAAGAGATGGAGCGAAGCCTCCAGGGGAGGAAAACAAGGGGAAACGAATCTCAACTCATCCCGCTGCAAATGGGATGTTTGCTACGGAGTTAGCTAGGCTGGTGATCCCAGGATGCCCTGCGTTGACTGGAGCCAGGAGGGCATTTTGCCCTCGCCGGTTTTCTCTCATTCACCTGAGGAAGGAGATCTTAACACGGCAAGAGGATGCATGCCCGCGAGAGAGAGCGCGTGCACCAATGTGCTTTCCGCATACGTGGCGCCCGAGTTTGCAATGGCAGCTTACAGCCCAGGGCATCCCAAAGCTGGCTGGGCATTAACCCAGCTTGCAACTCTTTAACTGCCTGCTCCAAATTCAAATATCCCACCTTAGTGATGGGACTTGGCTAGCGGGATAGTGCAGCAGAGTTTTACTATCCTGTTTCTCCAAAAATAAGACCTCCCCGGATAATAAGACCCATCGGGCTTTTGAGCGCATGCGCTAAAATGAACCTTCCTCTGAAAATATCACAACACAGCCGCAGCCATGAGGTGACCACGCTCACCGCCTCCTGGACCTCAAAAATAAGAAGACCTCTCCAAAAATAAGACCAGGGGCTTATTTCGAGGGAGCTCAAAAGAAAATAAGACCCTGTCTTATTTTCGGGGGAAATCGGGTAAATGCTGGAAACGGCGAAAACGGGCCGCGATTTGACCGATTTGGGGGGGGGGGGGAGCAATTGGATCCTTACTTGCGCTCCCCGGGTGAGACCTCCGAAGCAAATGAAGGAAAAAGTAGCCGGCAGGCCTGA